CAGGATTCACAGCCAAAATGAGATGATGGAATGACAGCTATCTCAGTGGAGCATTTATTCTTAAATGGGAATTTGACGAATTATGGTTCAGGATTCACAGCCAAAATGAGATGATGGAATGACAGCTGCTATCTCAGTGGAGCATTGATTCTTAAATGGGAATTTGATGTAATATCAGTGTTACCTTAAATAGGAAGAGCTTATTGAAACACAAAGTGAACTATTTTTCAGTAATAAGTATATTAAATAAAAATCTGAGGTACATTAAATATCTAAGTGTTCTGTGTTTATGTGTATTTTCATATATACAGAGTACTGTACATTGGTATTTTAGCAAATTAAATCAACTTATTATGTATTGTATTAGGGCCAAAAAATATGTATGTACAGCTGCTCTACTATAAAGATGTGGCTTCTCATTTCAGTGGTCCACAGAAGTGCTACTTTGGGATGGTGGGTTATGGAAATTCAGTCTGAATTCGCTTCAAACCTTTGTAAGAGGCATTAGGCTACATTCAACTTTGGAATCCTACCTGGTTTTCTATCATTTAGTAGTGTATGCCTTTCTGTTTGCTAAAATTGAATCCAAACAAAATTTGGGTAAACAATTCTTCATCTGTGAAAACTTTTGGGGCTCTGAAATCACACTCCTTTTGAGAAATTAAAACTTTCCTTTTTTTTTTTTCATCATAGAGGTGTGAAAAGGATTAAATCCAGCTTGACCTCTTCTGGACTTTCTGTGGCAGACTGTTTTGCATACCTTTGTTACATGCATATTGAAATTCTGTAATTCTTTAACTGCAGCTCTGCCAGAAACATCATTCTAAAAACTGTAAAGGATCCAGAATGCAGTGGTGAAAGCAACTCCTGCCACCAGCAGGAAGAGCCAGCATTTTCGTTAATTTCTGAGTCTCCAAACCTTTATTCAACGTTAATAGTTCTATTTCATTTTGGCTACAATCTTAAATGCTTCCAAACTCACTTTTGTTTTATTTGACTGAAGTACATTTAACTAGTTTCTTTTTTTTGTATGAAGTACAGTGTTGCCTCTTCTACAAACTTTTCAGTAAATATAAAAAGCATCATAAGACATACGGACTATTAATTACCAATGCAACCTATATTATTTAATCAGAAAGTTCAGTTGCATTAGGCATTGGAGAAATAAGAGATGCTGATGAGAAATACTTGTTTTAAAATGACACTACATCATCTGGTATGCTCAAGTCATAAATGTAGTGGAAGATGAAAACTTACAGTTTGAGGGGGTCTAGTCATTAGAAATAGTTACAACCATCACAAAATTTACAGTGTTTACAAGGCAAGCAGAAATGGCAACAAATAATACTGGCTGGGGAATTCAATAAACCATTGACTTTTAGAAATTTCAAATGAGAAGAAATTTTCAACATGTTTCGTATGATTAAGTAGTCTGATTTCTTTAATTGATATATAGACTAAAGTGAATGAAAACCACAAGCTTTCAGTACTACAGAAAAGCAAGACTATTTTTGTTAAAGACACAAATAAAGATTTAAGAGACAGGTATGACTCTATATAGCGTGTTGCTTATTGCTTCAAATAAAACCAGATCAGGAAATGACATGAAATGCAACATTATTTTTGCCAAACAAAATTTAGAAATAATGTCTGCTAAAATCCCATTCTAAAGAGAAAAATCTTGTTCCCCATCACAGTTTGGAGGAGAAAGAGAACAAGTTCCTTTATAAATCTTGCTACTGGAAACACTAGAGGCTTTCCCAGTTGTACATGATTGAGAAGGGATACTGAAACAGACAGGTACTCACAAGTCTAAGCTTGTTCTCGAGTAGCTGGTCTGTGAGCCAAACCCAAAACAACTTTTGGAGGCTGATCATTTCTCTGTATAAAACACTTAATGTCTTAAGTTTTATTGCAAGTGACAGAAATATATGACCGATTATTTAGGCTCTCTTGCTGCTTTTTGAGGGAATTTTGCAAAGAAAAAAGCATGCTTTTTGAAGTCCCAGACACATAAAAGAAACGTGGCAGGCCACTTCTACTGACAAGCTAACAGGCACATAAATTTCTGGCTAGACCTTAGTCAAATGAAACTTGGTAAAACTTTATGAAAGAATACAAAGTCTTTTTATTATTCCTTCTCATTCTTCACAGCTCCAAATCTCTCCTGATCCACAAAACAGCTCTATATTTTTAGTTTAGAAAATCAGTTATGCCAATTATTAGTCTTGTTATGTCTGGTATTTCAGGGGCTAGAACTATGTGTTTACCCTGAGAATTTTGGATTTCATTTAAAAAGTAAGATTCTGGTTCTTGACCACATCATTTTCTGTGGAAAGCTAGAAAACATGAACTCAAAGGACTTAAAGAGGAATAAATAGCGTGAATAAATAAAATAAACATATATTTCTAACTATGATGAGCTCAAGAATTTGAAGGATTTGTTTTTTATTTTTTTAGTCTACATCTTGTGTTGCAACAGAAGAAATAACTGCAGTCAGACACCCTGGCTTCCCCCTTTACAGCTCAGCAACTTGTGTTTATTCTTTCTCCTTTCTTGAACAGAAGCTGTCGTTAGGCTACACTTTACTTTCTGTGAAAGCCTTAAAAAGTGTTTTGATCTCCAAGTATTTGATTTCCCTCATTTCTAAAAAGGGGATGATAATAATACCTACCTTCAATGTTTAGTGGGGCTTAGTTCAGTAATGCCTGTGCAGCATGTAGAGCTCCTTGACTGGACAGTACCATAGAAATTCTAGGTATTATTATTGCACAGGACTATTCCAAAAGAAAACAATGCAGTAGCGAATTCTTTAATAAAAAGAACACTCAAATTTATATGGCATGATTTTCTATAAAAAAGACAAAGAAGCCGAAATAGTTTCCTACTAGTGAATTTAACAACTACTCCTCCCACCACGTTGCTCTCATCTTGGGTCCCAAATGCATGTGAGCTACACATTTGATTCATCCTGCAATTGCAAAATGGAAGCAAAACACCTCAAAAAATGGAATAATGTTTTTTCCTAAGGCATAACTCTAATTTAAAGCATAACATTATGGAATGAAAATCAATGGCATTGTTGAGTTTATTTTATTAAAAATGTTTCCCTGTGTACAGTGGCTCTGTGTATTGGGATGGTGCATCACAGTAAATTTCCATTAAGAAACAATGATTCACTTACCACAGTGAAAGCAGTAATAAGGTTAAACTCTTAAGTGGAAAGTAAGTCAAACTAAACCCCAGCAGGTTTTCTACTAGTGGCATAGCTAATGTTTTTGAAAATGTTCTAAATGTTCTCTCTCAAATATATGTATTATACATTGCAGTATTGTTAATTATATCCATTTTCTCTTTTATACACTTCCCCAGGAGATCAGTGAAGAATGGAAAACTTACTTATAGTGAATTTCAGATTTAATGAGACAAAGATGGTTCAATATATATGACAAAATTATGTGCTCTCACCATATTTGATAGGTAATTATTTTTTATACTCTAATGGCTACCATTTTGAAAATAATTAATGTATTATTTGTGTAATTAATAGATAATCAACCGAGTAAGAAAATACTCTGGCTACATCATGGTGGATAACACTATACTGTTTAACATCGCTAGAGCTTTTGGCATGATATTATGCCATATATGTGTAAAAAGATTTCATTTGAGAGATTTATGTACAAAATATGTAGTATGGTATTACTCTCTGTGTGTGTGTGTGTAAATGAATATTAAAAAAATTAGATTTAAAAAAAGCTTGCCTGAAATTAAGATTTTTAAATACATAGTTCTGCACTTAAATAAATGCCATCATTTTCTACAGAAATAAAAATGTCCAGCATTTTGTATGGAAAATATGCATCTATTGCTGTGAAGTTCTGCAGGTCTATCAACAGTCCTTCCTAACTGCTTGCTTTGAAGTTTGCTGATAGATGAAACAGAATCATCATGACTGTTTTCCCCCATTAGCGCATATTTAAGAAATTGTGCATCCCCTTGAGACTGCTGTTGCCCTAGACACCCTGGTGTACTAGTGGAAGAGAAAAAACCTCTTTACCCCTAAAGCTCAACAATGACTTGTGATTCCTTTCTTATTCTTTGGTCACAGATCACTTGCAGAGTAAAGTGACCTGTAATGATGACTTGGGTGAGGGTTTATTTAGAAACTATGAAGAGAAGAAAATTGCACAGTTCTACCAGGTGTGTTTACTAAATTAGCCCTCTTTCCTGAATGTTGCCACTACTTACAGGGAATGGAACAAAACATGCAAGCTCCACTAAGTCAGTTGCAAAGCTGAACACTGGCCTTTGGTTGAACGAGCTTATCATCTGAATAAAGCATTGTGACTACAATCTTTTCCCTCTTTTCTATAAATCTTCAGGCTTAGGTTTAGGATGTGGCCTAGATTAATGGAAATCTCACAGTGTATATGTCTTTGCCATGTATCTAGTTGTCACAACCTTGAATGTTTTCTCATATATGCTAAATTTAGCTCACTGTAATTGTTACCTCAGATAGGCTGTTCTTGACTCATATGTGCAGAGATATAGGTTATTAAACTGATGATCACACAAGACCTTAATTACCTTATGCTGAGAGTGAAATTCAGAGTGAAGCTTTCTGTGGCAAAATTCAGCTGCTTTTTTTTTTCCCCTCCCCATTTCAGGGGGATTGGAAATAGATCATCTTTTGGGTCTTCTCCAACCCAACCCATTCTATGATTCTATGTTTTATAATGAGGCAGAAGGAAAGAATACTATTGCTTTTACAATCGTGGTGCAATTAGTCCTCTAAAGACCTCTTTTGCAAAAAATATTTATAAAATAAATATTATTGTAAGGATTCAATAAAATAAACATGAGTGAACACATAATGAAGAAGAAAATATATAATTAAATATAAACAGGCATTGCATTATGTTATGTAAAAGATAAATATTTTACCTCACCATAAAGAAGAGTTTCTCTACAAAAGCTATGATAGGTTTTTTATTACCTTAAAATATTGCAGTTGTTTCTCAGCATTCATTGTTCCTTCATTTTCTTGTCTCAGACAGGAATTGAAGATGAAAAGCTCTGTATCTCTCAGCCACCCTTTCAGCTCTTTGATCCTGACCTCCAGCTGCCTTACCAGGCTGCCGCTTTCAGGCGAGAGCAGGTCACGTGGACCTAACCCACTGTGCCCTACCATTGTGTCTTGGATCTTCTCTCCTAGGGTTTTCTAATGCATCAGATAAAAAAAAAAACACATAGATTAGTCTTATGTACCAAAACATATATAGGTTAATGTGCAACAAGAAGAATCTGTTAAATGACTAGAGATGTGGTTTTTTAATAATTATGACTAATATCAATCAATTTTATTATTTGTTTCCTTGTTTCAACGCATTTCAATTTTCCTACCCTTGTTTCTCACTTATGCTGTTCTCTCTGGGTCACTGACTTTGCTAGAAGGATTATAAATTAGTGTTTACTAAGAGTAATTAAGGACAGAGGAGACAAAATTATTCTTAACTTTGTAAACTAGTTACTCTACAGAATTTGTCCATGGCTTGAGACACTTATGGCTAGGAGTATAAGACCAGTATATACCAGTATACAACCAGTGTAAGAGTCACTGGTTTCTAGGCAGCAAGAGAAAATATGACAATCACTGAGTTCTCCAGACTCCTATCCAAGGTACCATTTACATTTTTGGAGACAGATATTTTTTGAGGTATGAACCGTTAGGTTATAATTTTCATTCATGTAGCCCTGAGGCTGTATAGAGGAACAGTTAGGTCACAAAAGCTGGTTTGTTTTTAAGTGGTTGAACTCATTCAGACACCAAAAATCTTCACTGTTCCTGAACATAAGGCCAATTTTTTAGGCGACCAAATTCGAATTTCTGTTCTCCATGTTAAGTATCCACTTTGAGATAATGGACCAGACCAAACGTTCGTCTGTTATCGCTAATAAAAGTAATTTACTCCAGCTTTTCAAAGTAGTATTTCTAATAACAGAATCACTGAATAACATTTTGATAGTGGACGCTGGGTGCTTAATGAATATTCTGAAGAGGCCAGGGATAGAAAGTTACCTTCCTTTTCAGTATTTTGAAAGGCAATCCTTTAACATCAGAAGAGAGATGTGCTGTTGCCTGCTTCTCCTATGCCAAGCAGTATTTTATCTGACCTATAAGAGGCTGTCAGGCTGACACTTATTATAAGCACTAGATCTGTGTTACTGATTGTAGAATATTGAATATACACTGACACTCACATCCAATAACCTTTTAAACTGATAATTAGTGGTGGTTAATTGTTGTAACATGAAGATACAGTTTTAGGTGACCCAGTATGTCTGTCTGCTGGAAGTGCATGCCATAAAAGTTACTGGAATATAATTTATAACAATGAAATTAGCTTCCAAAAATAAGCTTTAAAACACAAATAAAATTAGAGCAACAGATATTAATCTGCTATGTGGCATTCTGTAAATCACATCTTTAGGAGATCATAACTGAAAACATGCTTTCTTGGCAACACCCTTCTATTTTCATGGTGCAAATATTGATAATTTGAAGACCCTCAGTGGAATCCAGCACTAGCTATTGTTTTTATGCTGCAACAAAAGTAGCAGCAGGAGGTGAAATCAATGCCCTTGGAGGGTAGGGTCACAAAAAAGAATTTATTGCCACTTTTTTGTTCTGGAACAGTTTGCAATCATAAATTCTTCATAAACAGAATACTTCAGAGAATGGTCCGTCTTCATAAATATACGACAGAGGACATCAATTTCATTTAATTCACAATTTGTGTCAGCACAGCAGATGCCAATGCCTGCCTTGATAGGGTTGTTTAATATGCAATTGAGACAGAGTAATATTCAGCACAGGGGACAAAATTTCACAGATTAAACTGTACGCACCACTGACATTTCATTCTAATGTATTTCCATTCCACAGTGTTCACCTTAGATGAAAGTAATATTAAAAACCATATCCCTCTATTTTGCCATTGTTAGAAGTTAAAATCCTTGTCTTTAATTTTTTTCATGCCAATTAAAATGTAATCATGCCAATTAAAACAGTATGTCTAGTGCTGTTAGTTTCTGCATAGGTTTTTATTAAATTAAACAAAACTCTATCAAACTCTGCTTATTATTCATGAAACTGAATTTAGCAGAAACACTGTAATAGTTACATTTTATTTTTCTGTAAATGCTGAAATTAATGGCAAAACTTAATATGGAGGCATATTTTGATTTTAACTTACTGAGAAGCAAAGGGCTTCCAACTTTTTTAAGACAGTTTGCCTAGATTTTAAGAATTATCATCTTATTTCATACTTTTATATCCTAACAGCTTTAATCAGTGCCACTGAATTAGGCTGATTAAATACAGTGAAATTCATAAATGTAAGGTTTACATTTTAAATTATTTTAAAAATAAAAAGTTGTCATGATCAGATGCAAAAGACTGGGTTAGTAAATCCTCTCTAAATCAGTAAATTTATATAATGATCAAAGAAGTTCCAAATGTTGCAGATTACAATTAAAAGTAATAAGCTCACTGGTCATAAGGCAAATTTTAACATTTTCTGACAATTTGCACATGTAAAGAATCAAGTGATTAGAAGTAACTCTGCTTAACTAAAAAAGCCCCACCCTCTGAAATGGCTATTGCATTACCACATCACCTAAAGTGACACAAGGCAGTATTTAAAATGCTGTTGGCAAGCTGCATGTATATCTTACTCATAATATATTAGAAATATTTTTAAACCAGGATAATAGCATGCAAAATTATGCAATGTAACTGTATTGCTAATATCACACATCTATAATTAATTATTTAAAGTAATTTATAAATTTATCTTACCCTTGATTTGAAGTGAAGGCAATTAAGGAGAGAAATGGATGGAAAAATATATAGTTTGACCTCTCTCTCTCAGCTGTTTTACAACAATAGGACAATAGTGTCTCCTGCACAGTGCCATCACCGGTCTCTGGGTAACAGAATCCCTATATTGCTTTTTTGCCAGATTCTTGTATCTCACTCTTTGGCTGAGACCCAGCCCATCATAGCGTGAAATGAATTACATGAAACTTTTTTGGCTTTTGTCAAAAGTGAGATGAATACAGCAGCATGAAACATATCCTGGCTGTATTCTCAGCTTCAGGTATGCAGATTTGTACTGAATCTGTGTATTTGTTTTTGAGCCATCAGTGTGACCTGAAATATGCAGTGACAACCCCACTTTTCATCTTAAAGGTATAGTAAATAGTTAAACAGTAGATGTCTCTAACATGTACCTTCAGAATAAATTCTATTAACATTCACTCAAGCATGACAGTCAGTGTATATCAGATATACTGCATTATAGTTGACTTGGTGCATACCCATAATACATGGCATATTTTACTTACATTTTTTATGTATTAAAGAACTAAAATTATTAAAGTCAGACAGGAGACAAGCATGGAATAAAAAAAATCAACAGAAGAGGAAAAGGCTATGGAGTTTTTATAATAGAATGAGTAGCTTGTTTGAAATATACGTGGTGGATTGAAAGAGAGAGATATTTGTGCTCCAAATTAGAAATCAGACAGACAGTGTACTTCAACACACAAAAATGTACACATAACCCACAAACAGTAATAAAAATGCAAATACCCCAAGCAGTTCCCATTTTTCATTAATTGAATCCACTTTTTCAAGGAGATCGTTCGGTAGTAAAACACCACTTTTCTTCAGAGCTTCAACCTTACTAAGCAGTTCCATCTTTTTTGGGTGCCTGATTGACATTTCTACATTGTATCTCTAAAATGAAAAGAAATGCATAGTATTAGCTGCTGTAGAGAGTTTTCTCCATAAAAAAATAAACTTTAATTGTATGCGCCCAGTTATGATCATGCTCCATCTGACATTTTGTCATTTTATTTTTTTTAAGCACACAACCTTCTCATAACATATCATAAGAGATTTGGGTACCAAGCACATAGAGTTCTGGGTGGCACATCTATGCAGGTTAGCAATTGATTACACAATTACACATAGTAATATTCACTCTCTTACAATATTCACTTGTACAATAATATCCACTAACACTCTCCCATCTGAACCTCAATCTGCCTTTGTCTCATTCAGGTTAGTGGTATCTAATTTCTAAAATATGCTACTTCAGTAAGTAACACTAAGGCTCTTCATGGAAAACAAACCAAAATGAAACAAAAAAGCCCAAGGAAATAATTTCATACTTATGTTTCCTGTAGAGTTTATTTATTCTCTCTCCCATTTTGGCTTCTGTGTCACACATGGGCCTGAAAATGTGAGTTTGACCTTTGAAAAACAATTAGAAATAGTTTCCCTAAAACACAATACCAGTTACTTGATTTCTATTGCATCAACCAACAGGAACAGTGAACTGGCCCACAAATGAGAACAGCCACAATGTTCATACAGTCCAATAGTTTCTTCAAGTTGAAAATACCTTCTATTTGTGCACTGTTATTTATTGTTTAAAAAAAAAAAAGAACCGAGGAAACAGGTATAAAACTGGAAGCTTCTTTCAGAAATTCTTTCACAGGACTTTCTAAATATTTAGATCTAGATTATTTACATAGTCTATAAAAATGTGCTCTAATATAAAGACAAACTAGAAAATAAATATTTTTCTTAAAACTGCATTCTCCAAAAACATGACTTAACTATTACATATAATGGTTACTATAGTGGTTAATTATGTTTTCACAGGTGGTACAGTAAATTAAAAAAAAATTTAATACCCAGGCATCCACATATACATACCATCCATATAGTTAAGCTAATTAAGTGTGAAAAGACTCAGTGAAATGAGACTTCTGATATGGCCAAAAATGTGCCTTTTACTGAAAGAAGAGATTTCACCACATATACTTGCAAAGGTGTTTACAATACTTACATAAATTATGCAAAGCTATTAGAAAATTGCTTCCTAAACATTAAGCTTTCTTTGCTTCAAATTCAGTCAAGAAAACTGCTATTGCAGCTCATACTGAAAATGTTAATAACTGGGCTAAATATAAAAAATTAAACCAAAATTAGGAATGTTTAAAACATGGGTGCCTTTGCCAGATCCAAGAGCATGCTCTGTAGGAAAACAAAGCAAAAATACAATTGCAGACAGCTTAAAGAAAATAATAAAGGTGTGAAATCACTGTTTCAGCTAACAGGTTCTCAGCATTTCCATGCATATGTTTGCATATTGTTAGTTTCATATTTTAATCTCTCATTTACACAACACATGCACATCATTTGTATTATGTAAACTTCAGCAAATATTAGTCATTTGTGGATCATAGAGCAAATGTTTTAAATGAGGTGATTTAAACCATTTCTCATTATTAATGAACACTGATCAGGTGTCTGCGTATCCAAAATTGCATGAATATGCATGGTAAAACCCAAGGAATTGTTTATGAACAACTTGCCTTTTGACACTCGCTGTGCTGAGGCTGAGGTTTGAGATGTGTACAACTGTAGGCAATACCTACCAGGCTGGGCATTAGGGCTGGACCCCAAGAGGCAGCACCATTTTATTCCACTGAAGTGTTCAACAAGTATGATTCCTGGTCCTGTTTTATTGCCTTCTCGGCTAGAATGGCTGCTGGAGGAGATTACAATCTTCTTTATGTAATCTGATTTCTATTTAAAGATGATATAGCCGAAAAGGATTTGCATAATTATTTCCATAAGTACATGTAATATCAAAGGGAATCCAGAGTCCAATTTGCTAGGCACTGAAACCCAGTACGCGCGACTCCCTTTCTTTTGTCAAGTGAATTAATAGACTGAGGGAGTCCTCTAGCTGTGTGTCACTGGTGCAGGCACAGCCAGTTACTGCTCATCACCTGCTCCAGGCTGGCACTGGCTGCTGCCTGGGCTGGGGATGTTCCTGGGCAGTGCAGGACTGATGACGAAATAAAACACACTGCATGTTTCATAACTACAATGCACTTGTTAACTTAGAAACAGAAGACATTTCATTTAATTTTGGACTAGATAAAATAATTCAGTGCTGCATAATCCAAACAGTGTGACAGATGTTATAAAAGGTTATTACATTAAAAACTAAATAAGCCAGGTTTTATGTACGTGCTGTCTCTGGCACCGTGTAACCTACTGTATAAACAAGCATGACAAAATTGCTGATTGATAGAAAATGCATTATACAGTAACAGTAAAAGATGAGAGATTTCAGTTGATTATCAGATGTACTGGTATAATGACTGAGAGTAAGTATTGTTTCACTCCTGGATATTTAATATGCAGTGCATATTTTAAGTTAAGGGAAGAGCTTAATGTACAGGAGGTATGGTTTGAGAACTGATAGCATGAGATGCTATTGCTAATGCTATTTTTTATTCCATTAAACACCTACACTCTGAGCAGTTGCATGGAAAAATTAGCTACCAGCTCTATCAGTGCTGTGCAACCCTAGTCTGGTAGGACTACTTAATCCTGTGGTGAGAAGATAATTTAATCTTCAGATTCATTCTTTCCTCAGCTTTAAGTGAGCAAAGACTGCTCTATTGTGACAGTCTGTGGATGTTATGATATAGATTACTATTTAATAGTCAAAAATGAGATTAAGCAAGTTAAGGTCACAGTTTTCTTGCAATAACCACAATAATAAATAAATGGGTAATATTTAATTTCCCACAACACCTGTCATATAAACTGGGAAAAATAAACCCAAACAAAAATGTACTGTAAAAACTGTAGAATATTTATAGCATGATTAGCTGTGTGCATGCGTGCTTGGTTTTGTGCTCCTGAGGACACTAAATAAATCCAAAACATTGTTATGTAAGTTAAAGAATTTGGCCTTTTATTCCTTCTCTCTCAATACAATCAATACTTCTCAAAGCACAAAGAAAGGAGTTAAAATAAATGCAGTACCATTTATCCATGAAGAAGTTTGGCAAAAATATTTAAGCCAAAAGAAGTTCAATTCCAAAACAAAGCAAGTTAAAACCTTATTTCCCCTGATAAAAACATTATAAGAAATACAGGCAGGCTGATTGAGACACATTTTTCGACACTTTATGCTAAATTGTTTCTTTTTTTTCTCTTTTTTAATTTTCTTTAAAAAATTATATAAAACATTTTTTGTGTGAAAAATCACACCCGAAAATTCTGTCCAAATGGAGACTGGAACAATGCCTTGTAACAGTGTTAATTGTCACCATGGAAACCAGAAGAATAAGCCATTTTGAAACTGGTATAGAAGGCACACATTGAGCAACTCAAGCATTTTTCAGCCTCCCTCGGTGTTAAGGAACAAGATGCCTAGTCACTGAGAGGTCAGAGAAAGAAATCATCATGAAAGGTTCGTAGATGTGCACTGTCTGGTAAACAATAAAAAAATCTGTACACAGTTAACAACTCTGTAAGACTGCGCACTGCATCTTTCAGAAAGAGAAACACCACAAAAAGATGATCAGGAGATCAGCAGATTCCACCCCTTGAGCAAAACTTTAGGGCAATATTATGCGAACCTTGCCCCTAAAGCTCCCTGGGAATTCTGTTGTTGTAATAAAACTTCAGAAGAGAAAAGAAGAAGAAGAAAAAAAAAAGCCTGCATGATGGAATTCAAAATAATGCTCTAAAAGCACACAGAGAGATTAAGACATCCATTGTAAGACTTTTGTATGGTGCTTCTGTTGGTTATAGTGAAAAGAGACCAGACATACTGAACACACAGTGGAGCTATGGCTACGAAGTACAGAAGAATTAAGCCAATGAACTTTCTCCATTACTGGAATAAGGGTGTGCTATTTGTAGATGTTCTGCATTCCGTCATTCACATGCTAACAAAGTATCTTCAGTCACATGGCACTGTAGGATATACAACTGAGATCGGAACTGAGTGACCCACAACCTTAGTTTTACCTGCACTGAAATTCTAAACTTTAAAGATTTGCCTTTTGGGGTGTTTTGACTGTGGCAGACACATATACCCTCGGTGTCTGCATGTGCATGCACAGTCAGCAGTGGCTCACGTTTGCAAAATATACTGCATGCATAAAATTCAGTAAATAATATTCTGCAAGCAAATTCACCAAATACATAACATACATATATATATATATATACACATATATATAGACATAAACACACACACACACACACATATATATATATGCATACATAGCAATATTTGTCCATCATCTCTTCACACACATTCTCACTTTGCTTTCTGGATAATGTTTGCACTCTTCATGCTAGGCTTCGTGGTGGCCCCTTAGGAAGCCCATGCCTAATGCCATTCAGTGGTGAACAAAGAGTCTTTTTATTCTAAAGTCCAGGGTCCAAAGCTCAGCTGTATACAAGCAAAGTGAAGGAATCTGCTAGAGGCCAGCCTACCCTTCACAATAGCTCTTAATGCTTCTACCTTTTTGGTACTGTCAGTGTGAAACATTTTAGACACTGTCCAGAAGCTGAGTTATATTTCTTATGTTGTCAATAGCACTAGAACCTTTGGACAAAATTCAAGATCTGGGCAGTGTGATCTGTCTAGATGAAAAGCAGTTTCTGTTTCTTGCAAACTTCATGTATTTCTGCATTAGCAATTTATGGCAAATAATTGCACAGAGAAATTATAAAGACTCCTACAATTGTCCTTGTAAATTAATAATAGGCTTTCTTGATTGGGATAAATTTGCTGCTGAGCCTTTGGAAAAATTAAAAAGTGCAATGTCATTTAAAATTGCCAGAACTCACAGAGCAAATTACATCTGAGGTTAAGAATCAGTTTTTCCTCTTCTAGTTTATTCCAT